TTGGTTAGCTGGTTCAGGTGTGTTTAATTAGGGTTGGAGCTAACCTCTCCAGGACACCGGCCCTCCAGGACCGAGTTTGGACAGCCCTGCATTAGATCATTTTACCAGAATTGACAATTTGTGAATTTTACTACAGGTTTCCCTTCATTTACAATATATATAAGCACTGACTTGAGTATGTACTTGCTTTAGTCTCATCATAGACTGTTTAGATTTTAAACATCTGTTTTGAATATGACAAACTGGATTCAAGGCCTGATTAAAAGCACACGATTACAGTGTGGAAGTAATCTGTCTATATCAGCAGTACTCAGCGCTTATTCTCTCTCTACACACATGGCAATACCCATTCCACCTCCTATACACAATGAAGCGATCCCTTTCCGTCCCCCTGTCCTCTGAAGCGCATGAAGCAGGGTCACCAACACTCTACAGCCAGACATACCGAGGGGATGTCCGAGAGAGATTGCCCCTCCACACACATTCACCTGAAGGAAGAGAGACAAATTAAGTGGTAAATTAACTATAAACTAAAATCATGGGGAAAATGAGACAGATGAGTATTTGTCTTTCCATAAATATTATTATTATATTTTTTTAACTTAGGCAAAGAGGTCATTTTATTCATTTTCATGTAGCAGTCTGGTCACTGATAGGGTGAACAAAGGTCAAGGGAGATGAACCTCCAATATTTGCAATAATGGAGACTCATCATGATATTACAATCTTGTCACTGTGGTACACAAATCATTGGGTAACTGTGTCAAAATAATATTGTGTAAAGCTGTATGAAGCATGAAGAAAAGTATTTATAAAGTGGAAGAAATAACACACCTTATCAGGGTTTAAACCGAGCTCCTTTACCACTGCAATGGACTGAGCAGCAAACGCTTCATTTATCTCAAACAGATCAACCTCATCAAGCTTCCATCTGGCTTTATCAACCTGGTTAGAAAGCATATTATAATATGAACCCAATTGTAAATCTGGGTTTTTATTGGATTATATTGGTCCCCTGACTGCTATTTCAGGATAAGCACTGAATACAAGAATTCATTCTTCATTCATGTGGATGAATTAGGCCCTGTGATGACTCAACAGACACTCACAGCTTTTCTAATGGCTGGAATTGGCCCTGTGCCCATAACTGAAGGGTCGAGGCCTGCCTGAGCCCAGGATGTGATGCGTGCCATTGGTTTTAAGCCCCGCCTCTGGGCCTCTGATTGGCTCATGAGAACAGTAGCTGCAGCTCCATCATTTATGCCTGTTAAACAAAAACCAATGGAAAAAAAGCATTATTGTCTCTATGCAATGAAAATGACACTTAAATTGTGTCATAATTGAGTGTCAAAGATGTCACCATTTACCTGATGCATTGCCAGCTGTCACTGTACCAGAGCCATCCTTCACAAAACAAGGTTTCAGTTTGGACATAGCATCAATATTACTGCCATGCCGCGGAAACTCATCAGCTTTGACCTCGACTGGACCTGATATGGTAATAAAGGGTTTATTTGAATTTATATTCAGTGTCATCAGAGATAAATACAAGGAGATACAAACATTCCAAAATAAATAGATAAATCAATTTGTTATTTTCAAAATTCATTTACTTGAGATATTAAGACTTGATTTCAGAAAGTACACCTTCATTTTATTTTATTTATTTTACTTATTTTATTTTTCTTAGGTAACTTTCTTGTTGTAAGGTTTATGGAGGTTTAATCAAGAAAGAAAAACATTATAAAGATGATTTTACTAGACAACGAGACAAAAATACTGATTAAGAAAATTATTTTTGCAGTAAACAAAACTCGACTGAATAAGGCACACTACTGTTCAAAAGTTTCAGGTGTGTAAGATGTTTTTTGAAAGTAATAATCTTTTTCAGCAAGGATGCAGGATGATCAAAAGTGACAGTAAAGACTTTTATATTATTAAAAGAATAAATCAAATATTATAAATTAATGCTGTTCCTTAGACATTTCAATTTAAAGAGTCCTAAAATAATTTTTTATGGTTTTCACAAAAATATTAAGCAGCATGATGGTTTTCAATATTGATACTATGAAATGTTCCTTAAGCATCAAGTCAGTTTTTGGTGAGTAATTTTAAAATATTAGAATAATTTCTGAACAATCATGTGACACTGAAACGACAATATTACTGGTTTTACTGTATTTTTTTATCAAATGAATGCAGCTTTGTGACCATACGAGACTTATTTCAAAAATGTAAAATATATATACATACATATACATATATATATATATATATATATACACATATATCAACCCCAAACTTTTGAATGGTAGTGTTTAAATATTTATTGAGATGCTGAAAAATAAAATAATATATAAATATTGAAAAATAAAATCATATTTCTGAATACAATGAGCCTCTTACCTTTCCTAGAGGGAACAGTAACTGGCACAATCTCCTGGTCAAAATCTCCAGCCTTCTGAGCTGCTTCAGTTCTGTTCTGTGACGTCACGGCAAACTGGTCCTGAGCCTTACGGGACACCCCCCACTGCTTGGCCACATTCTCAGCTAACACAGACACATGACCACAGCTAGATCAGTTGCCCAATTAAAGCACACAATAAAGGTAGGCCGTCTGTTTTCAGAAATTACCTGTGACTCCCATGTGGTAATTGTAAAAGGCGTCTGTGAGTCCATCAGTCAGTATGGAGTCCTGCAAAGTAGAATCTCCCATCTTCACCCCTGACCTCATCTGCACTATATGAGGAACCTGACAGACAAAGTGCTGCATGGTTATCATCACTTTTTACTTAAAGATAACAGAAGTGCTCCTGACAGCTGTCTTACCCGACTCATGCTCTCCATGCCTCCTGCTACTACTATAGTGGATTCTTTAGTCATGATGGACTGAGCACCAAGACACACAGCCTTCAGGCCAGATCCACAGATCATCTGACAGCTCCATGCTGGCACTGAGTATGGGATACCAGCAGCAACACTTGCCTGCCGGGCAGGATTCTGCCCATGACCTTAAGTACATGTAGGAGAAGACTATCAATCCACAAGTGAACTTGAGCTTTGTGCGTTACTCTCACTGATGACTTCTGTATTTATATGGTGGTGAGTAGGCTAAGTATACTACATGAGGTGCTATACCTGCAGTGAGGACATGACCCATGATGACCTCTGAGACTTCTTCTGGCTTCACATTGGCCCTCTTAAGCACATCTTTAATGACTAATGTCCCCAAATCATTGAGAGGTACACTACTAAGGGCTCCATTGAATGATCCTGTCAATAAAAAAAGCAAAAATATTGATACTTTTGTTTCATCTAAATAATATAATTTATGGAAGAAAGCAAAAGGCAAATAAAGCCATAGTGCCCATATACTGACTTTAGTTTTTTACCAAGTCAAAATCATAAAGAGCGGAAAAAGGAATTTTAACGCGATTTCTAATTTACTAAAGCTGTTATTTCATTTAAATATTGGTATTATTTCCATGAATAAAAGTTATAGGATAAGCATTATAGCATCACTTACTTAATGGTCAGAATTTTTTATTTTTTTTAAGTATACATGCATATATGAATTTATATATGAATGATAAAGGATTCAGCAAAGGTTTATCTGGATGACCAATCAATAAAATTTCTCCTGGCCATGGCGCTACAATAAATGAACCAATCAGAGCACGAGAACACTGGTGAGAACCCCGAGCAACCAATCAGAGCAGCTTTACGTTCCTTCTGCACCATAGTGAGACACTACACTACTGCCTTATAGCTCGAGCATTAGCTAATTAAAATAAACAAAAGACACGTACTTTGACGATATACAACCAAAGCAAACCGACTATCTTTCATCAGCATCATCGCGCAGATTATTATTTGGTTAGTTTCATAACTCAGGAGTTAGTGACACAGGAGATAAAACTTTCTAGTATAATCTGTCAACAAGCTGCCACAGGATGCACTGCCGTTTGCAGCTAACGTTACAAAGAGGTGCTCAGCACCGTGTGGAAAATATCATCGCGATATGATACATGACATTTTGAGAGTTTACCTATAGGAGTCCTTGCGGCAGAAACGATAACAATCGCATCCGTGTTCATCTTTGCTGTAATGCTGGCAGGTTCCTTGTTATGTGTCCGGTAGGCTGGCTATATATATATGCAGGTTGTTTCGAGGAGCCTCCTACTTCACGCTGTCTCATTCATTTGATAAAACAAGACTAGGAATTGAAAACATCATAACCGTGATCTGCCAGTCTGATGCATTGGTTTTATTTTGGTGTTGCGCCATCTAACGGTGTGGACGGCTAACAGAAGGCAGCAAAACGTTGCTTATGCATACTAGACACCACTAAAAATCTGTTCAATTAAAAAGCCAATTTACATCAGTTGCTTTGTTCAGTTGTTCAGTTGCTTTGACACAATCTGTATTGTTAAAAGCGCTATATAAATAAAGGTGACGACATCAAAAATATTTCAAACATCACTTTAGTCTCACTAAATACACACATTTAAATGCATTTTACTGATTAGGCATTAAATTGATGACATGTTGATAAACAGATGGAATGGTTTTGATAGAATTTATTCAAAGCAGAAAATCAAAGCAAGGTTTGAGTCATATTAAAATGCTTTATTGATATTTGGTCAGTACATGAAAAGGATTGAAATCAGAATTTAACAAGATACATGTAAAAAAAAAAACTACACACAAGTCAAACAAAACGTTTTCTCTGGTCATGTAGAGGAACAAAAGAAAAGTTCAACATCAGGAAACTAAGAATTCTGAACTTGCAGCTTCAAGACTTAATTGAGCATTGATACATCACACGTAGCTAAATGATTTCGGAGTTCTAACAAGTGAGCAAATGAACAGTACAGAACCAAGTGTTCATATTACTTTGACCAGGGAAAAATGGTTTAAAAGTCATTCATAAAAAAATAAAAATAAAAAAAAGAATTCAAATATACAATCGCAATGTTGCTCATTTTATAAACGTAATCAGCTTTGAGAATGTCGCAAATGCACTGAAATAGGTTATGATGGAAGGTCGGGTAGAAAACAAAAGTGATGCATTTGACCATTTCTCAAACAAGAACTAACTGGCCTGAAGTGTGTGATTTCCTTGTTTGTCGTGGTTGAAAACAAACAAACTGTGAAACTTTAAGAATGTTACAAAACAGACCCTGTGGAGGCATTGGAGGTGTTGGTGGCAACTGTTGCTGCAGATGAGTCCAGGCCATTCTGAGTGCTGTGCCTCATACCCGCAGTCCTGCTGCCTTTGGAGACAGCAGCGGCCTCATGGGAGTCAGCATTGGAGTCTGTATCGTTCGAGTGCTGGGTCACTGACGTCTCACTGCCTGTTGGTGAGTCCACACTCTCATAGCCCGCACTTAGTTGAGTCACGTACCCTTCTCCGCCCCTCTGGCTCACTGCATCTTCTGAGTGGTTGGACAGTTTTGACATGCCACCATGAGTGGGGCTGGAGACAGATGGCGATGGTGGGTAATCTTCATCTGCGCTGCTCGTTTCCCTATACAGACTGGACCCAGACGCGGCCCTCTGAGACGAGCTCCCGTTGGAGGGTCCATTGGACACCCTTCCGCAGTCTTTCGCAACTTTCGAGCAGGAGGCGTTCACAGGTTCGCTTTGAATGGAAGGTTCAGAGGCCGCTGAAGGCGAAGTTCTGCTTGGACCAGCTCCACTAGAAGTGCCTTGGGAGTTCAACTGAGAAAACTGCTGCCTGGTCTCCCTCAGCTGCTGCTGAAGAACCAGGATGGTGCTCTGCATGCCCTCCACCTCCTCATCCAGCTGAATGATGAAGTCATTGAGCTCTGGACCACACAAAATGCACAGGTACAAAAAAAAAAACAACTAAAAGTGAGTAAGTTCCATAAAAACAAACCATGAATGGAGAGAGGTTTTGCTCACCATCTTGGCTGCTCTTGAGCTCTTCGCTGTACTTCTTCTGCAAGGCGAGCTCGGCCTCCAGCTGGGCGATGCGCCCCTGAGACAGCTGCCTGCCCAACTCCTGATTCTCCTGGATCAGCATGCGACATTTCGCCATCAGCTTCTTACCAGTCTGGCTGCAAGGGAAACAAGTCTAACATCACATGGTGAACATGGCCACAGGGTCGACACAAGTAGCCACTGCATTTACAAACTGGGCGGTGACATTAGCCAACCAGAAACAGCTTCCAACAAACTCTCCAATGGCCACACTGGTCTTCAGACTGGTAAATATTGTTGACCAGTAAAGTATGTTTACATGCACTTATGAAAATGCAAAAGAAAGCGGTATTCTGAAACTAGTAAAAGCAGAACATGAGGTTCAACACGACTGAATTTCTGCAAGAGATTGGGCTTTATGTGACCGAGTTCTTACAGCTTTTTAATGAGTGCATGTGAGTGGAAAAGATCAGACAACTAAAAGTAACAAAGTAGTAGGAAAGCCAATTACCAATCGTGCCACATGTATATGCAGTTAAAAATGCACTGCTAGCATGGCACATGTAAACGCAACGGCAGTTTGGCAGCGCTCTCGCAATAAGCAGTTTCCTGGTGTGCATGTAAACATAGTCAACGACAATCAAGAAAATCAAGTAACAGTTCAAACAATTCTGGGAAGAGATGGTTGAACAGTTATCAGACCAAATGAAGTTAAACCAACAAGTGCAATACATCTGAACATATCTAGTATGGTAGCATTCCAATAGGCCATTGAACAAGTTGCGAAACCAAGTTCATTTAAAAATCTAAAAGCAGAGATGATCACAGATCCAAAGAAAGTACCTACCTGTTAATCTAAAAACCAGCCATGAGCAACCAAGCAATAATTCAATTCAATTAATGTTATTGTGACTGGTCTTGGATTAAATGACAGAAGGTAAAAAAAATGTGCTAGAAATTTTCCAGACAATAGACAACACAATTTCTTGTATTATCATTGAGATAAAATAACTGCAAAGCTGGATGTGCCAGTGCACTTAATTTAAATCAGCAGCATATTTTACTCTTCTGTTTAAGGTTAGGTAAATGCAACCCACATCTACTGGAAAACTCTGAGACTGTACTGATATACTGCATAAAGATGTATTCAGTAGCATTAAACTTGAATGAATTGAATGGTCACTAGGGTGCTTTGGTGCCAAATACAGCAGTTAGTAATGCTACTGTCCTCAAACTAAATGACTTGGAATCGTTTCAAAGCAAATGCTGGCATTTAACATCAAAAGCAGTTTGAGGTTAAATGTTGAGGTTTACACTGGCAGAAAAAATCCAATTTTTTTGCCCACATCTGACACAGATCGGAATTTGATGCACGTGTGTAAACACAAAAATCCATACGAGATCTGATTTTTTTCGCATCCGATCTGAGCCACTTCCAAATGTGGATTTTAATCGTATATCCGATATCTGGACATCCGACCTACGTCTAAACACACATATCCGAATCTCCCAATTCGAGGGCGACACGCTTGCCAGTGCATGCGCTCGCATTTTATTTAGATGGAAACTTTATGTAGGCTAAGTAAGAAATTGCACATGCAGGAGCTGTTTTTCAACCCCTGCCCCGTGAATTTTATAAATACAACAGTTTAAAGCTACATTATATTTCTTATCTCTCTCGTTAATTCATTCGAATTAATTTAAATAAATATCATATTGGCTCTACTTTATTTCACTGAAGAATTCCACCTCTAACGAGCCTAACAAATTAAAATTACCGTTATTTTCCGTTCAGTCAGATTTTGTGCTGCAAAACATCCATGACAGCTGTTGTCCATGCTGGCAAATAATAATGGCCACTTGACGTGTATTATATAAATAATTTTAATAGCACGGCCATTCAAAACCCGAGGGTCTACCATTTGCATAATAAAACGATCATCGACTAGCATTTTGGATGGGGATTATGTAAACACAGATATCGGATACCAGTCGCGTTTAAAGTGAATGTAAACAGACGGGTCAAAAAATCGGATATGGTCAAAAGATCGGATCTGTGCATTAAGACTTGCAGTGTAAATGCAGCCATATAGAATATTTCCTTAAACTGGTTAACCATCTTTTCTGGACAATCTGCTGCTATGAAATCTCTGATGAATTATATAATGCTCCCTTTAGAGCAGACAATATTTCAAAAGACTTGGTAACAACAAAATGGCCTAACCCAAATTGTTTTCATAGATCTGCAAAGCAGAATCTCTAAAACTACTCTTGAATCACTCAAATGCAACTATAACTTTAAAATGTAATAATTGCTATAAAATATCTACTGAGCAAAAAACCTGCAATAGAATTAAACGTGACCCGAGGGAAATGAACAAAACCATTGAAATCCTCACTGGGTGACCGCAAAATAAAAAGTGGATTAGAAAAGGTACACAAGATAATACAAATTATTATACACAAACATTTAAACAGCTTGAATAATTTCCTCTAACACACATTGCACATTTGCATTCACATTGAAAAAAACAATTATGTTTGCATCTGCAGCAGCGCAACAGCCAATTTAAGACAATTACCAAGTCAGTCAATTCATTTGGACCACGCTGCTGTAAATGCAAGGTGCATTTCCAGAGCAAAAACAAAGTATAGTTACGAACACAAAAAAAGAAAAGGTTTGAAACACTGTACCGTATGTCCCACCTGTGAGATGAACATATACCAAAGTCTTTGCAGATCAGAAAGTCTGATTCCTCCCCCAAAGTCTTACATCATAACAAAGGCTTCTGCCCCAAAGTCTTAAGATTGCTTAACTCCTCCCCATTTCATTGCATCACACTACATTCCCACCTCCCTGTGTTAACATTCTAGATTCTTAACCAGAGCCTCAAGGCATCTACGATGGAGTTTAAATGGGGGCATATTCCTCTGCAACACATTTAGTAGGGCCATGTCATGTTTTAAATGTTCAATCAGTGATCTTTAAACTACAGTTCAATCAGCTCCAGAGTCAACGCTTTGCTCAAGTCTTTCATAGGCCGCCTTTTTTGTTACAGGAAGCTTTCTAACATGGGCTGGAAGGGGGCATTTCCGACGTGACCACCTCTTCAGGAACAGTCCCGATTCCTTCAGGCTTCTGTACCATGAGGGGTGTGGGGGGGGAGAGAGAAAGCTGAAACAAAAGTGTCACCTGACCAAAACTGTTGGGTTTTGTTCTGATTTTACATTATGGTATTTGTAATAGCAGGGCAATACGAAAGAAAAATGTCTTTTGTTCTGAGCTTTGGCTTTAAAGTCTGAGTCTCGTTGTGAGCAAAACAT